GGAGTTCCACGCAGGCCAGCGCTGATCACATCATGTGTGCTCAGTTACTAGCCGAGTATGATTAAACTGAAAGTCAAAGCCCAAACATTAAAATCACGTCGAAGAAAAGTCACAAGAAAACAATGAAATAAGTAAGATAAAAGTGAACGACTCCGATTTATTTGTTCAGTAATTATTTATGAAGTTTAACTGAACAGTATGAGAATTCTGATAAAGGATTAATTTTTAAGATTGGAAGCCAAAATCCTAATATCTGGGGGGGGGTGGGTAGAGAGGTATAAATATTGCCCAGACTTGCTTTACTTTTATCTATAAAACAAAGTAATAGCCGACAGAGCCTTTGGAAGCTTTATCACAGCCAAGTACACCTATTTTTACATTAGATACAGGTCCTCATAACTTAGTTATAAACATTTTTTTACTATGGGCCCTATTACACACTTTGGGGCAATCTGTTATTTAAAAGAACTCTAAGATTACTCTTTTGATTAAAAAAAAATCTCCTTTGTTTTACCCATGAAAGTGGTATGCTTTTTAAGTGGGCACATGATTGTTTATAGTATACTTACATACATAAACACATGCATATACTACACATACTATAGTATACTTGCATATATATTGTGTATAGTTATAGTTTTACTTGCCTATTTTATGCGTTTGTTTCTATTTCTCACCTCTCTTACCCAGTCCAATTTTGAGAAAAAATAATTGTTCCCCCACATAATTTCTCCACTGAGGGATCCTGATTGTCAGAAGTAATAGTCCTGGGGCTGACCCGGTTGCATAGTGGTTAAGTTCACATGCTCCACTTTAGCAGTCTGGGTTTGTGTGTTCAGATCTCGGGTGCGGACCTACACACTGCTCATCAAGCCATGCTGTGCTGGTGTCCCAAAGCAGAGGAAGACTGGCATGGATGCCAGCTCAGCACCAATCTTCCTCAAGCAAAAAGAGGAAGACTAGCTACAGATGTGAGCTCAGGGCCAATCTTTCTCACCAACAAACAAACAAACAAAAGAAGTAATAGTCCTCAATCTTGAGGCTGGAAAGATAAAGGTGTCAACTATGCTTAAACCCTCTCTGCACACAACACTTCTGCTCCTGTCTTTTCAGCTTTTCTTATCAAGACTTCAGAGACTGTGCTCTGGAGTTTTGCTAATAAGCAGGGGAGGACAGTTATGATGCAGCTGTTGTCAGTTTACCTAGGAACAAAGCAACACCCCTACACTAAGCCTGTTTCTCCCAGCCACACCCCACAACCATCACAGTAAAATATGAAAAGGAGGGAATCACGCAAATAATTATAGCAGTTGGCACTAAAATCACTGAATCATAACAGCCATAAATTCTGTTATAGTTCCTATATCTTCCTATAGGTACATCATCACTTTAAGCTTCCTTGCTGACTCAACTGTCTCTTGTTTTCCCTCTGACTAATGACTGTTCCAAAGATTTGGAGAAGTCTGTGGGCCAAGGATGAAAGCCAACAGATCTCATTCATTCACTCATGCATACATTAACATTTACAGTTTGAAGTACTTGGGGATTCTTCAGTGAGCAAAATAGATATGGTCTGTGCTCTTACGAAGCACATAAAGTACGCAACCTACAATACCTGCCCCTTTAAAAGGATACTAACGAGAGGACAATTTATCATAATGTATATTATGGGCACTTGCTTTTTAAAAAATTCCTCTTAATAACTTCTCATTAGGCTAATACACAAAACAGCCATTTATTCTAATTCCAATCAACCAAAAAACTTATATAACCACAGATTTTTCAACTGTTTTTGTACTTTCTGAGGAAAAGAAACATGAGAGGAAAGCTAAAGGGGATTTATTCTGTAAACCTCCCAGGCCCTGTAACAGGGTCATTTTAGGCCTGGCCAAGTCTTCTACAACTATAATTCTACATGCAAGATACATATATACACACATAAATACACATTTGTCTTGCATGTTGAATTATATAGATACACATACACATATAAATATTTTCAACCAACACTGCTTTCTAAGTAGAGTGGAATCCATGAAATGAGACCTTTGATTCTTCTAGAAACTTTGCTGGATTTTGATATAAGAAGGTGGGCCTGGAGTGAATTTTAGTCCTACAAGCAGGGAAAAGTTAAATGGTTCTGCATAGTCAAACAAAAAAGATTTGAATTTTTGGAGGCAACCAGAAAGGAGAGAAAGAGGAAAGGGAGAAGGGCCAATGAGATTATCCAGGCCTGCAGTTCCCTGTGATGGTAGCCAAAATGCATTTTAAGGATGGAGATGCCCAATATTCAACATCGACACTCCTGGCCTGCTACAGTGTAAACATCTCTTCTGCCTACCCTTTCCCCAAATCTTCCATCAAGTTTACTACACTCACAAAGGCTTTATGTGAACCCTTTTTTTTGTTTTCCATTCTGTCCTAGCTCCTGTGGGACACATCTATCCAATTTCACCACAGACACCTCAACTATACACTAGCACCTCATTGGGTTGCTCCAAAACGAATTATCTTCCTTTTCCTACTCCTCATTTTTAACTGCCCTTCTCATATCTTCCAACATCCCACTAGCTCATTAACGTTATCATCACTAAAGGAACAGCTAATATTTACTGAGCACTTGTAATGTGCTAGGTACTCCGCCAAGGGCATTACATTCGTGATTTCATCTGATCCTCAAACCCAACTAGACAGGTACTATGATCATATCCCAAATATTAGAAAACCAAAGCTCAGTCAGGACAGTAATTCTAAGGGTAAGTGATGGAATTCAACCCCTATTCTAACTCCACAGCCAGCTTAACTAGTACACTCCAATGCCTCAAGTCAAAAAACCTAACAATTATCCCTTTCTCCTTAATCATATCTAGTCACTTACCTAGTCCAATCTATTACACCTCCTAAAGGCCACATCATCACTACTTCCACTGCCTTCACAGAGAACTAGTATCTACCAAGGCCTTACTATGCAACAAGCACTATTCTAAGTAACATACCTGTTTTTTTCAAGTTTTATCCCCCAAACCCTATGAAATGAAAAACCCAAGGAAGAAAGAGGTTATATAATAAGTGATGGAGCCAGATTCAAACTCAGAAAGTGTGAATCGAGAAGCCTGAGCACTTAACCCCTATAATACCAAAGCTCTTACTTTGTCTCCCTACCTCCCATCTGGACCCCCCATCACCCTCCAGACTGTCACAAATATCCCTCTGGAATGCAAATAATATCACAACATTCTCTTAACTTGGCATACAAAACCCTTATGTTTCTCTTTAAGTCAGTTCAATAAATATTTGAGTGCCTACTAGAAGCAAGGCAGAGTGCTAAGTGCTCTGAAATGAATACCACACCAGCCCCTGACTACCGCTCCAACCCCACACACTGTGTCCTTCAGCCAGAGTAACTATATGCAGATCTCAAGATGCAACAACCTCTATGTTAGTCTCTTTGTCTAGAATGTACCTGGAAAATCCCACACCAATTTGAAGAGTGAGTGCCTATGTGAGGCCTCCTCTAACAAACTCCAGGCAGAAATGCTCTCTCTGTTAAGTTCCCACAGCACTTTGCTCAAATTTCTTTGAGGGAGCTAGACGAACAGAGGTATGGATCAGCTTCCCAGTAAGACTTCGAGCAACTTCAGGGCAAGGGCTGACCCCTGCCATCAGTGCTTGGCATGCAGTAGACATTCTATCACTTGCTGAATAAATAATGAAAAACTTCTAACTTGATGAGAAAAGAAAAGGAACAAGATACAGAATAGGAATGTTAACACACAAGTGGACCAAATTAAAAGTAGTGTTATTCTACTTTGGTTCCGATTTGGCCTACATTTTACCCCTATGGGAAAAAAATCACGTGGGAGACTTGGATAAGCTAAAAAGGCAAAACTTTGTTATTCATGGCTCAACAAAGCTTTGACAGGCCCAAAAGGATACTAGATCAAAGTCCACTTTCCAAAGGGCTGTGGGGATAAGAATCAAATCTATCAAAGTGAATAAAATTGATCTGAGATCCAACTTCTTCAGTGCTGCGTCACAGTATATGCAAGAAAAAAAAATCAAAATCTGTCCTGGGACGAAGGCCAATTTACAAATAAGTACTGCTGCTGCAAGAATGTGAAATTCTTCAAGTGAAGGCAGTTCCAATAAACTGGAGCTCACAACTGTTTCCTCCTCCAGAAGTGCCACTGCTTTTTACTCAACTTCGTGTCTGTCTTCTGTGATTTAAAAAGAAACATCTATACAGTTAAGCCCATGCATGAATGTACGGTAGCTCCTGGCAGATACGAACGTCTTGACTAGTAACCTTAAATGTAAATTGAAATATCAGAAAAAACACTACATAAAAGTCAAAAGTCCTTCGTCTAAAACATGGCATAAAGCTTTGAAAACCGAGCGATCTATTTCCTGAATGGTGCTTTGTGAGCAACCGCTTCCGAATCAGGGTCCATATTTTGAAATTACCCCCTTGAAGATGTGAAATCTCTCTCCCACCCTCTCCAGCCTAAAGGGAAAGGTGAGAATTCCTAGGCAACAGGCTGGCAAGGAGGGACGATCTCTCCTCTTCATTTCCAGGGGCACAAGATCCGATGGAAGGCAGCTGGTGACTCTCTCACTCACGACAAGAGACACACAGGAAACTCATCCCCACCTCTCCCCTCCTTAAAAAAGCAAACGACGCAAAGATCAGCGACACAGTGGCCGGAACCACCAAGTGGGAACAGCCAGGGGCCGCCCGCCTCTCCGGGCGCCTGCCGGGCGGCGAGCACCGGGCGCAGGGCAGCCCGTCCCTTCCTGCCCGGGCCGGCGCGGCCAGCACCCACCCAGGTCCACGTTCCCCGCAGCCCAGCGTGCGAGGAGGAGAGCCGCGGAGGACGGCGGGGGCGCCGCTCGGGCCGCCGCCCCGGGCGCGGCGCTGCCCCACACCCCACCGACGCCCGCACCTGAGGCGGCGCCGGCGAGCGGGCGCGCAGCGCGGCGGGCAGGGCAAAGTTACTCACCGGGAGAGCGCGGCCGCCCGGGGCGCGCCCGGCTCCCGGCGCCGCCGCCCGGCGCAGCTCGGCTAGCTGCGGCCCGCCGAGGGAGCCCGGAGCGGGCCGGCCTCCGATCCGCAAGGACTAGCCGCCGCCGCCGCGGATTTCCTGGCAAGAAGCAAACTCTGGCCAAGACTTCACTTCTCAACCGCCCCTGCTGCCTTCCCGGGGGCGAGCGCCGGGGCCCAGCCGCCCAACCCGACACGCACCTGGGCCAATAGGCGGCAGCACAGGGCGGGAAATGGGCGGGCCAGAGGGCGGCTCCGCCTATCCGGGCGCTCAGCGGGCGGGCCAGGACGGGCCGTCACTCCCGGGTTAGAGTGAGCCCACTCCGCCTCTCGCCGCCTGCCCTCCCCCACCCTCTCCCCGGTGTCGCCGCCGCTCGCCTGATTTCCCCGCAGAAGACACGCTCGAGAAGTGTCTACGCTCACCGCCGACCCCCGCGAAGAGAGTGGAACAGCTAGGGGAGGCAGTGAACATCAGGGGAGGCGGGGTGGAAGGAGAACAGGTGGCGGAGGAAAGCAGAAGTGTAGGTGTGTTGGGCGAGAGGACAGCCGGAGTGGGGTGGTAGGGACAGGGGCTGACTGGGTGCGGGAGGCGAGGGGAGCTGGAGAGCGAGGAAGGGAGAGGGGTTATTAGCAAAGAACACCTGAGGGGACGGAGAGAGGAGCAGTATGGAGGAGCAAGAAGGAAAGAGGGCGGAGGGCGAGTCTGGGTGGTGAAAGGTTGCCGAGGCGGGGGCAGCGGCACCTGGGAACAAAGGTGAGCGCGAGGTTCCGCAGGTGAGGAGGTTGAAGAAGCCGAAAGCGTAAGGGGAAGAGGAAGTCCAAAGCGAGGGAGGACGTACTTCGGGAGTAGAAAAGATCCTGGGAGAAAAGGATGGAGGGAAAAACAGCCTCCTTCCAAACTCTCACTCCTCCCCCAAAAGGTAAAGACAAACGCTTGTCCTTTGACCCAGTTGAAATGTGCAGCTAGCTGCAAGACCCCGAATGAGACCAATACCGGCTCAAACCATCCTATTCTGTTGTGAAATTCATCAAGGTGTATTGATCAACTATAGTTTAAGCCTATTGTCCCATGAAAGCCCCCTCCAGGGTTGGAGTCCCGCCTGGCAGTAACACCATTCCCCACGGGTCTAACAGCAAGTCTGAAAGAGACCTGAATCCGGCCCCAAGAAGGAAGGTGATTTGGGGTCGGCAGGTGAGGCCCCGCCCCCTTCGCCATCACCTGGGGCAAGGTGCCGAGGGCTGAGCTAGGGCGCCCACAGGCGCGCCTCAGCCTCGGGGTGCGGCGGGAGCCCGGGCCCGCCTCTCCCCGCTAGCTCTGCGGGCGGCCCTGCTGCCGGAGCGCCAGGTGAGCGGCTCGGGCCTCGCCCCGCCCTCCTCGCGCCAGGGGCGGGGCCTGTGGGCGGGGCCTCGGGTGGAGCCGCCCCGCCCCGCCCAGTGGCTGGGCCTCGCCGCGCCGCTGCGGCTCCTCCCCCGTCCTTCCGTCCGCGGCTCCTTCCGTCGGTTGTTCCTTCCTTCCTGCTTTGCCCGCACGTTTCGTGATATGGGGCAGAGCCTCCGGTCCGCCAGCACCACCTGAGGATCCCGGAAGCCGCCCCCCCGCGATGGAAGAGGACCAGGAGCTGGAGAGGTAACGGCCGAGGAGGCGGGCGGGAGGAGCGGGCCGCGCCCTGCACCGGGAGCCGGTGGCCGAGGGGCCTGCGGCCGGCCGAGGCCTCCGCCTCCGCGGCGCGGCCTGGCTGGCGAGGGCCTGGCTGGGAGGGCAGTGGGGGAGAGAGAAGTGGGCGCCTGGGCGGGGAGAGGGGCCCCGACTGGGAAGAGAGGGGAGGAGACGTGGATGTGTTGGAATACAGACGCTCAGTACACGAGATACCACGGAGGGACGACAAGTTGTGAGACCAGAGTTTAAGTCCCCACGTTGCCCACTCCCAGTTAGAACAGCAAGAGTAAATAAAGCTAAAGTGTAAAATTACGCACCAGGCCGCTGTTCCCTGAGTGGTGGCATCGGTGTGCTCAGTCGGGCCTAATTCCCTGTAACTGCGGCCCAAGTGCCTCCTCTGTGCAGACTGCTAATGAAGCCGCTCTGTGCGCTGAGATCTTTCTCCCTCCTGCTGGATTGACTCTTCGTAGACTTTCCGTTCTAGTTTCCTTACCTCCTGCAAATGGAAGCCGTAGTGGGCCTGCATATTGATAATCTGTACTATTTTTATAATAATCAATGTTTTTATATGTCTCTCAAGTCCCTTTTCGTCCTCTAGTGGGACCCACCCTATTCTAATCCTCTCTCTTTCTTATGACTCTACCAAAAGAATATTTTAGCAAACATTTAAGTTTGTGTTTTAAGGAGACTCCCCTTGTGGCCATGTGGACGGTCAAATGGAGTAGGGAGAAACTGGAGGCAATAAATTAAATATTGTTGGTAGACTGTGTGGAGGCAGGAAAATAAGGGGCTAATGCTAATAGTTCTCTGTATTTGAAGTGCATTAGAGTAATAATGTGTTGCAGTTGTGAAATAGTAAATTAAAAAAAGCTAGTTAACAAAACCATGTTCAGTATGATCTCATTTTTATAAAAAATATGTGTGTAGAAAAATATCTGGATTGAAGACCTCAATGGCTGAAGGCGAAAGGAAGACAGCCCTGGAAATGGTCCAGGCAGCTGGAACAGATAGACACTGTGTGACATTTGTATTGCACGAGGAGGACCATACCCTAGGAAATTCTCTTCGTTACATGATCATGAAGAACCCGGAAGTGGAATTTTGTGGTTATACTACAACCCATCCTTCAGAGAGCAAAATTAATTTACGCATTCAGACTCGAGGTACTCTTCCAGCTGTTGAGCCGTTTCAGAGAGGCCTGAATGAGCTCATGAATGTCTGCCAACATGTGCTTGACAAGTTTGAGGCCAGCATAAAGGAATATAAGGATCAAAAAGCAAAGCAGAAATAAACCCACATTCTAGTCGCTTATGCACGCTGCAGGGAGGACTGACCTCTAGGATATTCTCCTCGTGATCATGCAAAACTCAAAAGTAGAAGTTTGTGATTACATCATGATCTGTCCTTCAGAAAGTTGTGCTTCTAGCTATTGATCTGTTACTGCTGATGGAATCCCTGCAAGAACCTTTGTATTCTTCTAATAAATTCCCTCTTTTATTTAAACTAATTTGAGTGGTTTCTGTTCCTTGGTCCTCAAGGTTGACTGTTTCGGGTTTTTTTCTTCTTTCTTTCTTTTAATTGAACCACCATTGAAAGGAAACTATGAGAAAATGAGGGGCCTCGACAAGGACTTTGATCAAGGGAATTAGAAGGAATATGCATTCGTGGCTGTAATTGGGGGAGAGGGAGAGATGCAATAGAGCATGACCCCAGATAGACTGTGGTTGGTTTAAAAAAAGGGAAGACGGAAACAAAGCTGGGAGTGGTGGGAGGACTTGGCTTCTTGCTGGATATTTTCTAGTAATTCCTGGGAGAATCACATCCTGTGCTATGAGTGGTAGATTGGGCAAGGGTAGGGAATAATTTGAAAGAATTGTGAGAATTCTGGTTTCACATAGAGTTTTTGGTGGAATCAGGCTCCATTTTTGTGGTAGCATTTACAGAGTAGATACTAGTTTACTGCTTTAATTTCAGGACACTAATAAAATATTTAATATTTAAGTAGGAGAAAACTGGGAAGACCAGATAACATTTTCAGTCCTTAGGTAGATATCTAAGTATAGCCCAGGGTTACACAAAAAAAGCAGTATTTGAGAAAAAGTAAGGAAAGGGGAAAGGAAAATTCCATGTGGGGAAAATGATTTTTTTGGAAAACTTAAAATATTGGTGAATCACATCTAAGAGCTGTCCTATTTACCTCTTCAGCTGTCTTTCATACCTGTTCTACCCCAACTTGACTCCTAATTCACCCTAATATCTGTCGGCCTTTGAACCTGAGCACCCCACCCCCAAGTGCTCTGTGCTTTGGGGCCTTTGTTTATTTCTTCCTGGAACAGTCTTCCTCCTGCCATACTCTAGTCTAGGTAAGAACTTATATGTCAGACTTCTACCCTAGTTTGGGTACTTGTATGTGCTTTCATTATGCTCTGTTTCCTGGTCTTGGATTTACTATGCTATTGTTAGTGCTTATGTTGTGTACCCACTATACTAACTTGCAGCACCATGCCTGACAGGCACTGGATGATTAGTAAATACTAGATGAATCCATAGGTAGTTAGGGCATGTAGCCTTTTAGTCACTGAAATCAGACGTCTTCTATTAGCTTGCCATAGAACCCACATTTCCTACATTCAGTCAACTCTTTAGATAAATGTATTTCACTATTTATTGAGCACTTAGTATATACCAGGCCCTGAAATAGATATGCTAGTAGATGAGACCCAGGTCTTGTTCACATGGAGCATACATTGTAATGGGAGTGAAATTTTTTTTAAAGTTGTAATTCTGTGAAAAAAACAATTACAGGATCAAGAGAGAAAACATGAAAGAGAAATCTGCTTTGGGTATGGAAGTCAAGGAAGTTCCTCCAGAGGTGACAGGAAGAGAAGGAGCTAGCTATGCCAAAAGGAGAGAGAAATCATTCTGGGGGAATAGCATGTGCAAAGATCCTGAAGCAGAAATCTAGTATTTTGAGGAATTAAGGGAATTGAAAGAAGATATGTATGTCTGTAACGTGGTAAGCAAGGGGGACAAGGGCCTATCCTATGGGTTTGATGGGAAGAAGAGCTGGGGTGGTAAGGAGTTAGGATTTTAAGTACAATGGGAATGACATCTGAATAATTTGATTACAGTTTGGGGGAATGGATTATAGCGTGCCCAGAACAGAAACAGAGAAACTGTAAGAGTTGACGCTGTCTGGAAGGGCAGTAAGCTTGTGATGGAGAAAAGAAGGTGGACTTGAGATAGATTTTAGAACCAAACTGGTACAGAATTGATAGATGCCAGGAATTGGAAGCTGAGGAAACAGAAAGATGACTCCTACCTAGGTTGGGGGCCAAATTACTGAAATGGGAAGCTTAAAGGGGAAAATAGATTGGGAGGTGGAGAAGGTGAAAAAAGTTCCAATTTGAACGTAGTGGACAGTAGCTATATGAGTTGGAGGCCATGAATGAGATTTAAGCTAGAGATAAGCTTTGTGAGCTCTTGCCATAAAGATGTAAATCCATAAAAACTGAGGTGTGACAAAGAAGTGGGCCCAAGAACAAGCTGTAGGCAAGCTCCATATTTAACTGGTGGGTAAAAAAGGAACAACCAGTGAGGTGGTAAGAAAGCCTGTAGGAAGTCAAGTTATGGAAGCCAAGGCTTTCAAAGGGGGGAGTGATGTTGAATGAGTCACATGAGGATGGAGAAATGTCAACTGGAGTTAAACAGGGAGGTCATTTGGCAGTGGGCAGCGTTAGTTTAGTGCCTAAGAAGACTAAACATTAACACTCATTGTACAAGAGAGTGGCTTAGTTTGAGTTTTCCAATAAAGAAAATATACTGTAGGGCACTGGAGAGCTAAATTTAAGTGGGAGCGAGGATGAGGAAGATCAAAGTCATGGGGTAAGCATAGGGACTATTCTCCTAGGGTGGTAGAGATTCTAGAAAACCAGTGTCAGCGTAGTGAAATTAGCATTTGAAGATCTAAGGAGGCCCTAAAGGGATAGGAGGAAAGGATCAAAAACTTCTTTGCCTCTTCTAAAAGTTTGCCTATGAGTATTCCTATGAGCATAGTAAACAAGATTATTTAATGGAGTTGAATACCTCTGAGCCAAGACCTGTCAGGAGATGAAAGCAAATTTCGATTAGTGGACATAGAGGTGTAGAATGAAAGTAATTAATAACAGTACATATGGGAAATGCACCCACTGGTGACCACTCACTGCATCTCATGGCTTTATTGCTCCTAAAAGGTTTTGTCACCACTGATCATGTGGCGTGCTGTCTTGAATCTGTTTAGGGTAGCCATAAACTCACAGGTTCAAACCAACCACCTTCAGAAGGCAGATGGGTGAAAGGAAAAAACTGAGGGCAGGGCAGGCAGGATAACAGAGTCACATGTATGTGGAAGGAATCTTTGCATGAAATTTGTAGGAATCTAAGGGAAGGATGAAGGAGATAGATATGAATCATATTTATATAAACTGAAAAAACTGATCAGTATTTCTGATTTGCTTTCTAATGGCATTTCACTCTAATATTAATGATTCAAGATCAGGAATTCTGTTCAGCTATAAAGTACTATGCCTTCTAAAGAGACAGTTATTAAATAAAATGATTATATACCAAAGGCTTTTAATATATAATAATTTGAGTACTTGGCTAGCGCTTTCCATTTTCAAAGCACTTTACAAACTATTTATAAATTGCGTATAGCTGTAACATGTAAGTGCTCTAACTAATTGGTATAAGACACAGGTGCTTACAATAGCTCCAGCAATCAAAAGGTGTCTACATAAAAAGTGGTCCATTCAGCACCATTCAGACCCGAAGAGTGTCTTGCATTTTGAGAAACAGGGAAGCATATCAAGTTCTCTGGCGCACCATTCCCCACCTTTCTTTTTGTTTCCCTTAAACATGTTATTAAGATTGTAGATAATCTCCAGATCACTAGACAAAAGTCATCTTTTTTGGTTAGCATACTTAAAAGAGACAATCTTTGTAATATTGCTCAAACTGGGCTCCTAGGAAGTTTACCCAAATTCACCAATCTGCTTTCAAATACTTATGAAGACCCCAAATCCAGCCCTTTTGTGCTCACATTTTTTTTTTTTTTGGTGAGGGATGTTGGCCCTGAGGTAACATCTCTGCCAGAACCTGGGCTGCTGGAGTGAAGCATGCCAGACTTAACCACTACGCCACGGGGCCGGTCCCTATGCTCAAATTCTTTTTTTTTTCTTTTTTTTAATATTCTTTCCTTCTCCTCTTGAGTTTTTTTTTTTTTTTTTTTTTAAGATTGGCACCTGGGCTAACAACTGTTTCCAATCTTCCTCTTTTTTTTTTTCTTTTAAGGATTGGCACCTGGGCTAACAACTGTTGCCAATGTTTTTTTTTTTTTTCCTGCTTTATCTCCCCCAACCCCCCTCTACACAGTTGTATATCTTAGTTGCCGGTCCTTCTAGTTGTGGGATGTGGGACGCCACCTCAGCGTGGCCTGATGAGCGGTGCCATGTCCGCGCCCAGGATCCGAACCCTGGGCCGCCGCAGCAGAGCACGTGAACTTAACCACTCGGCCACGGAGCCAGCCCCCTGCTCAAATTCTTAATGTTGGTTTTTCTTTCACTATTTGAAACTGTATAAATTTTCCCAGTACAGTTACTGTGTGATCTGTATTTTTTTTCATAATGAAATTCTTTGCAAACTTGGATTATTGGTTCTGTATATAGCAAATAGGTACCTAGTGGTGACACAGTCCTGAGAAATGGTGGAGATAAAAGGGTATAATGTGAGTCTGTCCTAAAAAACCTTATGTGGTTTGGAGAGGGCAGACAAGATTTGTACACATGAGAAAGAAACATCATATTTATGATGAAATGCCATAATATGCAGGGTAGAATATTGTACTGAACACAGAGTGGAATGAGTGAGACACTATTGAGGCAATGACTGTTCCCTGAGCACTGGCTCTTGCCAGCCACTGTCCTAGGCACTGGAGACAGCAAACAAGACAGACACAGTCTGCCCTCCGGTAACTTGTGGAGTATTGAAGTTGGCCAACTTGTAAAATTAATACAGTGTTCCAGGATAAATGGTTTCCTCTTTCGCAGTGTAAAGGAGCCATTAAAGATTCTTGAGCTAGGGAATGCCACAAGTTTTTTTGTCTCATGCCTATGCGGAATGGATGAGTGGAAGGAAACATTGGAAGGCAGCCATGAGTTAGGAGGCATTTGTAACAGTCCAGGTATAGTGTAAGGAGGGTGTAGTTGTAGGAGTGGAGGTAAAAGGATAAATACAAAAAAACTGATAAAAAGAATTAAAATACTCAGAGACAGATTCTATGTAGGGGTAAAGGTGAGAGAAGGGTCGAAAATGGCCCCATATCCATGTCTTTTACCCCTTTGTTTTCCTACCACTCCCTCACAACCAAAACCAGTATGGCAGCATTTACATCTCCTCTCCTCCCCAACCTGTCTTGCTAATAGGAGTCAGTGGGTGCAACCACCTTTAACTTCTTTCCCTCACCCA